AAGGAAACCTGGAGATGTAGATATTATTAATTTACTGCAGTGCGCCACAGCAAAGGGAAAACTAATGCAGAAAAACCATTAAAGAATAACGTGCAGACTTGTTGCCATAGCAACTGGCAACAACAGCACCCTATGCTTCAAGATTTAACAACAACAAACACTCAGACATTTCCCACAGAAAGAACAGAACATTCAGGAAGACTGACCAAACTCTGCACTTCCTCAGGAGATTAGAATATGTTATTAGTAAAACGGCACATCTACAGAGCAGAAACCGCTGAAAGCCCGACGTCTAAAGACTTTATCGGTCGTCTTTAGCATCGTTTATGTAAATGAGACTCATTTACCACAGAGACGGTTTCTATTTGCTTCTTGTAAATCTTCTCTCTCTACTGTTCCCCAGACACAGGCTCTGTCTCGACCTTCTATTCAGGAGTGAATCCAGACAGTTGCTGATAACATGAGAACCAGCTTCATGGAGCGTCACGGCAGGCCGGGCTCTCCTGTCTCCAGAAACACAAAACATTCATAATAATGGGGTCTGTATATCTTTGAATGGTCATTAAATGTTAAAACTTTGGACATTTTCACATGTTCCTCTGAAGCTTAGAAGTTCAGTCTAAATCTAAATCCTGGTGGATTTTTCTGGTACTTCAGCCCAACTTTTTGGCCTGTTTGTGATTTTCTGCAATATATTAAAGCCTAACTGTCCTTTCAGTTGTTTAGCTTCTTTTTGTTATCACTTTGTATTGCATAGATACTGGTGCTATGAGAATATTTAACTTTTTTACTGAATTGGTTTGCTGAGTTGCTTTATGTTTTAATCTATTGTGTTTTTTTAGTCTTAATTTCACCACAAATGTTTATTATTGTTTTTATGAGGGCCCTGCATCTTATTGGTTAGGTTGTGTGGGTTGATTTTTACTTCAAAACCTTATTGAACCAACATATGTTTCCTTTTTAGACATTCTCACTTGTGATACTGGAATGAAATCTTCCTTTGACTCTCAAACACAGTTTTAGAGAAACAGCCAGGTGGAGTTTCTTGTCTCAGTTTCTGTATTTTCTTGTTTAGATGTGATTGTAGCGTGGTTTGCTAGTTTGCCTGATCAGGTCAGTTTTGTCAAACAAACCCCTCAGTAGTGTTGGAGTTGTGTGTGATGAAGCCGTAGAGCAGGGGGCCGGATACACATCCTGGTGGAACTCCGCTGTTAACGACATCACCTCTGAAATACTGTTTAAAAATAAATTCTTTCACTTTTTATTCCTCTTTCTGGTAACATTTTTAACACTCACTATATATAACTGGCTCTCCTCCAAAGATGTGTTCAAAAGCCTTAAAACTAATGGTTGCTATGGAAACATGGTATCCACTGATTGCTCTCTGTATTGCTGTTACTTTAACAGAGAGTAACCCTTTTTTACCAGCCTGTACGTTGAGATATTTAAATGTTTTTCTGTTCCTGTAGATGTGGGTGAGTTTAGATGTTTTCTTTTACTCGTGCCTCGAGGCCAGTGGCGGTTCTGGCATGGCAGTTGCCCAGGGCGGCACTAGAACACCTGGGAGGTAATTGTTGCACAGTCACCAGATGCAATAACATGCTGATCTGTCCTTTGTGATTTATTAACCAGGCTGGTGGCTGGAAATGTATGCAAACTATTTCACATTCTTTGTGCAGGATTGAAATATATTTTGAATTTTCCCCAGAACTGAAAATGTTTCCTGTAGTTTGATTGGTTAGGAGGCAGAACGACAGGATTACCAGGAGGGCGTTGATGTAAGAACCACCAGGGCATAAGGCCATTTAGTGGGTTGTTGTCTTTCCCATTTTGCACAGTGGCTAAATGAAGTGAACTTTTGCATTCATGAATTAAAACCCCTGCTGATCAAATCAACTTGTTTTTTTGTGATAAATGTATTTTTTATTGCTAGTGGTGACACTGAAGAAATTTTGTTAATTTTGTTTTCTAACCAATTTTAGGTGAGAAATTAAAAATATATTAATTTAAATATTTTTTGTCCATCTCTACCTGTGAAGCCAGTAACTGCGGAGGATTTGAATCTATTTTTATCTAAACTGTTAAGCAAAGGGAAACTTCTGCCTGAGCCTGTTTATCTGCTGTCACACATTAATGACTAAAATATTCAAACAGAGACTCTGAATGGACTCTCAGGGTCTGAATCAGTTTCTGTTCAGATGTTTCAATGTATCAAGAAAACCAAACATTTCTCAGAAGTTTCAGGGTTGAAATTTATCTGAGTAAAAACAGATTGAAGATGAGAGATTTTGTTAAAACATGCATTTACTGGTGGAGAGTCTCTGTCAGACATGATGAACCTGATCAGAGCTTCAGTAGAAAATAGAAGACGAGCAGCTGCAGAACCTCAACCCACAACTGATTGTCTTCTGTTGAAACTCAGTTTTTGCCACATAATTTAAATACAGAATTGACGTCTGACTGCAGATGTACCACAGGAGGCTCAGTTTCACCCACAGCATGCAGAGGAAAAGAGAAGCAGAAACAAAACAGTTTCAGAATAGTTTCTAAAATTTACTGAAACTCTGATGCACCATCTGTTATGGGAAAAGAAGAAATACCATAAGAGAGGAGTTTTAATTCATTATTATTCAGTGGTCATTTACCAAACTATCTGTTACTCTGATGGCTGCTAACAGCATTAGAAGGAAAACGTCATGCAATCGTTAAATATATGCATTTTATTTATTCTTTAGGGGTTTGGAAGACGACATGTGTTATGACTGATTGCTTGCAAATTTCATTTGGATTTTTAAGTAACAAAAACACAAACACTAAACCAGCGACTTCATAGTTCTGATATTTCTCCATCAGGATCACAAGATGTATGTTTTATAATCAAACAGGCTGGAAGCGAGATGGTTGTATTTATTAACTGTGTCATGGTTTTGTTTAGACTTCTGACCCACATGCGAGATGACTGTCAGGAGACGGAAGTAAAAGATTAACCGGAATAATAATACAGGAAACGGGAATGGTTTTCCTCCAAAATGACGGGAAATTAACATACAAACACATGAAGACCTGGACAGAGTTATGGTAAATAATATACCAAGTTAATAAAACTAAACTGACATGGACTTCCTTGATAATTTCCCAGAGTGTCAAACGCTCCAACGTTGGAGTGAATTTCCTGGAATCTTCCCTGGTGGGAAGTTTGACATCCGCCTTAAAATGTTCGTCTGTTTTCTGTTCTTTCACTGTAAAATGAGGAGCTTGTTGAGTATTGAAGCTATTTAAAGAAACTGAAAATCTGAATATGGAAATCAGAACAGGAAATGGTAGTTTCAGCATTTTTCCAGTTTCATTTACTTTGAGTTTCAGTCTTTTTATGTGATTTACGTAAAAGGACCGCAGCTTATTTCGGCTTTACTTTTTAAAGAGGCTTCTTACTTCTCTTCATTTTGCATAAATATTAATAACCTCCCTCCGTTTTTTTCTAGTTTTGCTTAATAATGATGGTTTCCCAGTGAAGAAGTGATTTGCTGTTTGTTATTCTAAGCTTATAAAATAAAAACATAATTGGATAGTTTAATTTCACATTAAATTTAGATTTATTTTTTTATTTCGAAGCTTAGATGAAGATATTAAACCCACACAGCAGATTCAGATCCACAGTGAAGCTCTTTGTTCGTTGTTAAGTTCTTCCTGTAACAGAAACTTTTATCTCATATCTTCAGAGATAACATAGTTTCTGATTTGCAGTTTCAAACAAAGAGCTTCATTGTCTCCTAGTCAAAGCAGCTTTGTTTCCACTAAATGATGAGAGAGGGTTATTTTTAGCAGCTGCAGCATCATAAATCAGCCTTCAGCCGTCTGCAATAAGCCATTAGCAGTTTGTTTTTATTGGCTCACTCAGGTATTTATCACATGCAGATTTACAAGTTTCACTTGAAGACGTTTAGTTTATGTAGCTGAAGCTGAAATCCCTCCTCTGAGAGCAGGAAGAAAAAAACAAACAAACAAACAAACAAACAAACCCTCATGAAAGAAAATATTCAATTTCTAAACAAGTTATTTGTGATAAATTGTTCCCTCTCATATAAAACATTATCGTTTGACATTTCACACACATTTCACTCCTTTGATCTATGAATAAAACCATTATTTATCTCCCTGTCTGACCTTAAACTGGAGTAAAGCTGAACTTTCTGTACTGAACCTGCTGCTGACTGAGGCATGAAATCCAGAGGCTCAGTGAAGCTTTGCAGGAGTTTTTACCTTCTGAGGAAATAATTTGTAGAGGAAAAGTGAAGGATGAGACATGACTGGACAAACCTTAAAGCTGAGTGGGACAGAGGTCAAGATGGTGAAGGTTGAGATCAACACAAACCAACAGAATGGAGTCAAATATCCGCCTCCAGAAACAAAATCAGCTCCAAAAGTCAAAGCTGCTTGTTTTGCTGACTGTGTATTAAAATCATCAAGTGTTTCTGCTTTCACTCGTCAGATTTTCCTTCAACTGATTTTCCAGACAAACTGGTTCCTCTGGTAGTTTCTATTTTCAGCCGATGATGATCAGTAATGATATGATTTCATGTGACCTGCTGCTGAACTGTTTATATAAGCATTTATTTATTAGAATCACTTCTAAAAGGACAGAAACACTTTGATATCATTATAAAAAGAAAAAAAATATATATATATGTTTCAGGTAATAACACGTAAATTATGCTGATTTATAAGAACATAAAATGATCACTGTGTTGTTTTTCATTGGTTATTGTTATATTTCTCTGTTTTTGAGTTAAAAAAAGATTATTGATGTTTAAAAGTAACAATAATGAACCAAAGCAACAAAATGAAAAACTGAATTAGAATAAGTTGTTTTCTATGTTTTAAAGCTTCCAAATGAACAAAACAAAACCGACTGACAATTTAGTAATAAAAACCAACATCTTCACTGATATTTCTCTACTTAAACTT